CGTTCAAATCTGACAGAAAAATAGACTGCTACCCCCCTCCCCCCAATAAATCCAACTGGATCATATATAACAGGTTAGCTCGTTATTCGGGTTTCCCCCTTCATACTCGATACGAGACGGATCAAAGACGAACCAAAATAATTCTTCACATCCATAAACCTCATCTAGTGTGCTAACGGGTATTGAAAGTGCTTGCCTGGGGCCTCATTCTGTAAAGAACGAACCATTCGATTCGGTAGAATTTCTTCGATTGTGACGTCATTTTCGGTTTGCTAGCGCGGAAGCTATTCCGAAAATGCCGAAAATGACGTCACAATCGAAAAAATTCTACCGAATCGAACGGTTCGTTCGTTACAGAATAAGGCCCCTGGTGTGCTCACGGCAGTAGAAACGATTTTGGGAGCTTTGTCGTCAATCAGCAGCAAACGGGTTAATTTAATGCACTTTTTTGTCGCATTGTGTCGAGATGTTCCTGTTGTTTTGTGTTCAGTACTTACGTATTTGTCAAGTCTTATTTGTCTCCGTCTCCTCCAATACCCACCTCAACGAATCGAATTCATTATCAGCGTCGTTTGATTGGTCTTCAGGATCGGAATCAAGCATCAGCTCAGAAATGTTTTCACATAAAGTGCCGTTACAATATAAACACAGCACTGAGCATTTTAATTCTGTTTTCCGACATCCACAAGCTCCTGCACAGCCTTTTCTACATTTGCAGGATATCGATTTCAAAATGGCGTCTGGAGCTGCTTCTGACATAGCCCGAACACCATCGAGCCCGTTTGCCGTTTTCCGCCAGCCATATTGCTCAGGATATAATTCTTTGCCAATCCACATCGCAACTTGATGATAAACTCGCAAACAGTGCTGCCTTGCAGCATCTCTTGTGGGTGGCAGATACCAAGAATATATTTGTTCTAGGACACAGACTTCGTGAAATTCTGGTATCGAAGTGAATCGAATGTGTCCTTTTCAAACGATCCACCATAATATAGTGCCAAGAAAGACGCTTCTCCAGCTGCAGCAAGAGTAATCACATCTGCTTCGAGCTCTTGGAAGATTGCTATAGTCTGAAGCAATGCGTCGTGTCTATCCAGGAGATTGGTTCCTCTTTGATCCGTGTCGTTTCGAGTATGAAGGGAGAAACCCAAATAACGAGTTAACCTGTTATATATCTGATTCAGTTGGATTTATTGGGGAGGATAGTAGTTTCATCTATTTTTCTGCCGGATTTGAACGTAGTAGAAGCAAAAAAATCAAAAAAATCACATGAGCCAACGGGTCAAGTTTCAATTTTAAGTCGCAGCGAACGTGTTTGAATTGTGGAATAGACCCATGTTGGGGATACCACGTTAAAAAAAGACGCGCCGGTCAGCTCTACCTCTTCCTGGGTGGTGTGGAAACGAGTTGATAACCTATGTTTCTATTATTCAACTTCAGGTAGTAATCATACATAATGTGAAAAAAATGATATGTAAATACAGCTCATATGGGATTTTGAAAAATTCATGCTAATGTTCGGTCCTGTAACTCGGAAACTATTCGCCAGATCAAAAAAGTTTGAATAGCTATTTTGTAGGAAATTTTATTCTCTTAAACTTCTTGAAACTTTTTTTCCTAAAATTTACAGGAACCAACTTATAAGCCAAAAACTGATTTTGATCGCCATTTTTTCAATATGGCGGCGAGAGCGGCGGTCGCAAACTTAAGTGCATGTTAACCTATAAGTCTATGAACGGGTTACTGAAATCTATCCATTGTCGTATTAAATTTTTATTATTTCTTAGGTCCAATTCCTCCATCACTTCATTCAAAATATTCTTCATCCTTGCAACAATATCGATAATGTTTGAGAAAAGTTTTTTGGATTGATTTTCTCCGCTTTTCCATCCATAGACGCGTTTCGACCCATATCAGGTCTCATCAGTATGGCTAGGAAAAGCAAAGAAAACCAATCCAATTTTTCGCCTAAAGGCAAATGCAAGAATTACGAAGAGCGAATCTTGATCTTGACGCCATCTAGGACCGATAATCAACACTACACGCAATTTTGCTGTGCTAAATGGTGAACGTCCAAAGGCCGACCAAAATTCAGTTCGTTTGGGTTTAACCCAAAAGTACCACTGTTTGAGAAAAGTTTTTTGGATTGATTTTCTCCTTAGCACAGCAAAATTGCGTGTAGTGTTGATTATCGGTCCTAGATGGCGTCAAGATCAAGATTCGCTCTTCGTAATTCTTGCATTTGCCTTTAGGCGAAAAATTGGATTGGTTTTCTTTGCTTTTCCTAGCCATACTGATGAGACCTGATATAGGTCGAAACGCGTCTATGGATGGAAAAGCGGAGAAAATCAATCCAAAAAACTTTTCTCAAACAGTGGTACTTTTGGGTTAAACCCAAACGAACTGAATTTTGGTCGGCCTTTGGACGTTCACCAAAATTGCGTGTAGTGTTGATTATCGGTCCTAGATGGCGTCAAGATCAAGATTCGCTCTTCGTAATATCGATAATGCAGTATTTTTTCACTCTCATATGGATTCACCACTGATCTCACTAACAACGATAACCCCAATAGCTGCCGTTAAATAACGATCAAATTTATAGGTTATCAATAGTTAAATACCGATCGTAAGGTGATACAGAATAGGGCAAATCGTTTGGTAACGACAATCGTTCGTAGTCATCGTTAAATAACTAATTCGTAACGATCAATCTTTACAAGCGATGTTACAAAATAGATCCGACCGTTATTTACCGATTTTCGATATTTAACGTGATCGTTAAGCCTTACAGAATAAGCACCTAAGTCGGGTACCATTACTTAAAAAAGATAGGTTGAAGCAAACATTAGATAAATTAGAAAGACAAAATATTATAGGCAGAAGCAGAGTAAATGAGACAAGTGAGTGGGTAAATAATTTAGTAATTATTGGAAAACCTGATAAATTTTCAAGGTTGTGTTCATAGATCCACAACACTTGAATAAGTGCATTAAAAGGCAATTTTCTGAAATCCCTAGTCTGGAAGAAATTAGTTGTAGATTACCAGGTAAGAAATAATTTTATGTATTAGATTTCAAGGATGGGTTTTATCAAATAAAACTGGATAAACCCTCTAGTAATTCAATAACATTCGCTGCTCCGTTTGGTTGTTACAAGTTTCGCAGGTTACCATTTGGCTTGAATCTGGCACCTGAATATTTCCAAAAAATTAATTATAAAAACTTGAAAATATTTTGATGATCTGTTGATAACGTGTGGAACAGCATGATAAGACCCTGAAAAAAGTATTTTTGCGAGCTAGAGAGAAAGGTGTGAAATTTGATAAACAAAAATTTCAATTTTCGTTAGAAGAAGTATGTGAGATGTGAGACACATTTTTAGTCAAAATGGCATGAAAATTGTTAAAATTGATAATGCAAAGGTACGTGCTATTAATGACCTTAAATTATGTAAGACAATTATTGCACGTGAAAATAATAGTCCAGGAGGTAGTGAAATTTTTTAGCAATTATTTTCCCAGTTGGTGTCTATTAAATAGTTTGTTCTAGTGATACAAAGCAAGAATTTTTGAGTCTGGCTAAAATTTTCGGATGGGTTCACAAGATCAATAAAAAATACAAGTACGCTTATTTTCCCAGACATAATATATATGAAATTGTATGTGTATGTTTTCTGACTGGGAAAATAAGTACCGAAAATCGTCACTGCCTCCTAGACTATAAGGTGAGAAGAATCACTTATTAAAAATATTATTCATTTTTCAATTTTCATTCCTATTTTGCATTAAAATTAATTGTTCAATCCAATTTGTTATTAGCGTGTGTGTAAGGAACGTACAGGTTAGTGGATTAATTATTTTGTTTTGTTTTTCAGAGTTCAATTTATGCAAGTTCCTATTATTTTGTTCATTTTTATGCATTTTTGTTTTTTTATAACATTTTTTACATGTGCATTGTTTATGTATTTAACCAAAATCGTTTCACACTGTAAACAACACAGCTAAAGAGTAAATTAAAACCTAAGAAATTATGTGCTGTCTTTTTGTGCTGGGATTTTGATTTTGTGGATTCAGAGCGTGCATTAGAGCTTTGTTGAATTAACTAACATTTTCCTACCCTGGACGAGAGAATATTCTAGCAAATTGAGAAAAATCAATCTCAAAAACAACTATAGCCGTGAGATTTCCGTAACAAGGGACCTCGGTACCCGCCACAGATGGGCTAACTAACCAAAAACTCTTCAGTTTTGATTACAGGTAGTGTTGATAGAATGTAGTGTGTGTAATTAAAATTTTAGCACAGGAACAGGGGCGGTACCTAGTTTCAACTTTTTTGAATTATTGACTCACAATTATTATTAAAATTACACAGTATGTTTCGATTTTTGGGGAATCGAGGTTTTATCTTCCGTTCTCTTTTTCCTCGTTAATTCCAGGTCGAGAACGGTACGTTTTTCTTTGATAATAAAGGAGACGTTTCACAAATTTTGCGTTTCTTATACATATTACAGCTTCCCTTAAATTTCCCAAATATTTGCTATGTCGGGTGCATGTCCAGTAAGTAAATTTGAGTAAGTTTGCCACAACGTAGGTCGTATTTGTGTTTCATTTCTTTTTTTCAGAAGATTTTTTGTTCAAAAGGTAATAAAAATTCCCATCGTTCAATCTTACTGAGCGAACCTGGGTATGTTATACTACAAAGGATTTGACAAATTATTCAGATAATATAGATTATGATGAAAATCTAGGATCTATTGAATATCCGAATCAAACTTTCTTTTCAAAAAACTTAACATAATATTATTGAGTATAACAATAGTATTACAGTGACTATTAACGGCTCTTGGTTTTCTATAGGAGAAGTTTTCCAGCGATTCAAGAGCCGATAATAATCAAAATTTGAATTATTATCGTCTCAATAATGGTCAGTCAACTATAAAGAAGTTGAGCTCTACAGATGAAAGTACCAAACACTAAATAATTACCAACTTTATACTTTCAGGCGCTAACCTCAACCAACTGGACAGCTCAGGCAGAACACCGATCCACTTGGCAGCCGAACTAGGCCACAGCTCCTGCCTGGAAATCCTGGCACAAACCAAAAACGCCCCCATTAACCAACAAACCAAAGAAAAACAACGCTCCGCTTTACATTTGGCCACCCTCAACCGTCACCCCGACTCCGTGGACATTCTTTTGAAAAACGGAGCTGTAGCAGACATCAGAGACTACCGACATCGTACTCCTTTACACTTAAGCCAATGCAACGACTGTTGCAAATTGCTACTGAAACACGGCCACGCTAATCCTAATCTTCTAGACAATACACAAAAAAGCCCTTTGCATCTTGCATGTTCAAAAACAACTACTAACAATTGCAGTGAGATAATAAAAACATTGATTAGATACGGTGCAAATGTTGATGCAAAGGACACTCAAGGCAATACAGCATTGCATTTGGCAGCTCAAAACGAACTAAGTCAATGCGTTGATGCCTTAATCACATCCAATGCTGATATAACAGCTAAAAGCAAAACAAATATTACAGCTTTGGGGTTGATTTGCCAGAAAACCCCTAAAAGTATTGAAGCGATAAGGAAACGCTTAGATGATGCTGTTAGTTTTAATCAAACCAACCAACTACAAATTGATTTTAGTGTAATACTGCAACATGGCCATCCAAAGGAGAGCAATTTCCTGAAAACTTTAGTAGATGAGAGGCAAAAAGACTTACTACTGCATCCTGTTTGTACAGCGTTTCTACATTTAAAATGGAAAAAGATTAGGAAGTTTTTCGTGTTTAGGGCCTTGTGTTGTTTTTTATTGGTATCCACAATGTCTAGTTATGTGGTGCTAGGCCTTGCCAAACACTGCTACAATTTGAGTCAAAATGTTTCTGAATTGTACGAGCAAGACAAGGAGTTGTGCTTGAACCATTCGATTTCTGGTTATTTTGTTGTGGAGCATCCCGCTATGATTGAAATTGAATGGTATTTAATGTGTATTTTGTCTTTGGCAATTGTTGTCAGAAAATTGTATGGGTTTGCTGGATATAATTCAGTTATCCAGTATTTGAGTACTTTTGAAAATTGGCTCGATTGGAGTACTGTTGTTACTGTGTTTCTTATTTCGTTTATATATACTGGTAAGACGTACATTTGGCAAAATCACGTGAGTGCTTTTGGAATACTTTTAGCTTGGCTTAACTTTTTGTACATTTTAGGTCAATTTCCTTTTTTCGGAACTTATGTAGCAATGTATTCTTCGGTGCAACGTGAATTTGCCAAACTATTTCTAGTTTTTGCCTGCTTGCTTATAGGTTTTACTGTAAGCTTTTGCGTACTATTTCCTGAATCTGAAGTATTTTCAAATATTTATATTGGCTTTCTGACAATTCTTGTAATGGCAATTGGCGAAATGAATCTAGATATGATTGTTAAACCTGACGAAAAAGACAAAGTCTTTATGCTCAGAGGCTCAACCGAAATTATTTATGCCACTTTTGTCACATGTGTCACAATAATATTATTGAATCTTTTGGTAGGAATCGCTGTCAGTGATATTCAAGGCCTGAGAAAAACTGCAAAACTTACCAAATTGGTAAAAGCCACAAAATTAATATACATAATCGAATGTGCCTTGTTCAATGACAATAGGATTTTGTCTAAAATGTTTAGGAGTGGCACTTTGGTATCATCCAAAGGCTATTGTATGCTCAGCATTAAATTAAATAACGGAGACAAGGTTATTCCGAGACATATTATAGAGTTGGCTTGTGAAGTTGCCAGAAAAAAATGTTGCAAGAAACGAATTGTCAATAGATGTAACAATTTAAAAAATATTAATATTAGTGATGTAAGTTCGATGAAGAGTGATATAAGAAGCTTGAGTGAGGAGCTTGTTAATATGAGGAGTTTTATGGAGAATAATCAGAAACTTATGGAGAAAATATTGAAGATTGTCGATGTTGAGAATGATGAGCTGTTATAGAAGAGAAATTTTTTGATTCTATTTTAAATTATGATGTTTTAAAAATAAATGTTAAGTAATAATTATATGCAAGTGCTTTATTTTATTTTCTAATTGATTATCAAAATTGGATTATTACCGGCCCTTTATTGGAGACATTTTCTAGCGAATCAAGAACCAGTCATAATGAAAATTTGGCACTTGGAAATACAAGGGCTGTAAGAAAGTGGCATTTGGGCTTTTTCAAAAACGAGTTTATCGAGGATTTGACAGTCATTACGGATACTATCAAGGATTTAATTACGATCATATATATAAATAAAGCATCGGTATATCTGAAATTAGTGAAAACTTACCCCAAAAAGCTGTAGCCATACTCGCATGGATCATCTGCAAAGAAAAAAATTTTAAATTAAACCCTCGCTCCAAATATGCCCCTAATTATTTAATTCTGGAAAAAAGAATGAATTGAATCGTACCAATAGAACACGAAATAGATGGAAAAATACAATAATTGACATGCGCAGATGATCAAAATCGGGCTTAGAGCCTCTAAAATCTTTAGATCAAGGCTATTTTTTTTTGTATTTTAAAATATGAGTTTTGGAGCTCCTATAGAATCTAAATTCCAAGTCTGAAATGAGAATCTTTAAACTCTAAGTCCAGTTAAAACTTAGGCTTCAAATTTGTGAAATCGGGACCCTAAGGATTGAGTTCATATCAACAAAGTCTTCATTTTTAAATCAGCAAAAATAAATCTTCACAGTCTTTGTGGTTTTCGTTTTCTATAGAACCTCTTTATACTTTCGGTTTAAAGTCTTTAGAGAAAAGTTCTTTGTCTTTGAAAAATAACGAAGAGGGATTTGTTAAATGGAGTTTCTTCATGATACAAAACAAGTTGGGATTTGATATAAAACTCACAAGTAAAGTTACGAAGTTTTTTACTTATTGATATCTGAACAAATCATAAAATCACCTTTGAAGGTGGTTATAAAATTCACAACTAAAGTCACGAATTTTTTTATTCATTGATACCTGAGAAAATCTTGAAATTTCTGTAAAATCATCTTTGGAGGTTCCTGAAAAATACTTTCAGCTATACCAATAACTTGAAACTTTCATAATTTGTTAAATGAAGTTCCTTCATGATAAAAAACAAGTTGGAGGTTGATATGAAACTCACAACTAAAATTACGATTTTTTTTTTACTCATTGATACCTGAGAAAATCATAGGTTCCTGAAAAATACTTTCAGCCATCCCAGCAACTTGAAACTTTCAGGATTTATTGATTGAAGATTCTTCATAATGCAAAACCAGTTGAAAGTTGATATAAAACTCACAACTAAGGTTACGAATTTTTTTACTCATTGATGCTGTAAAATCACCTTTAAAGGTTCCTGAAAAATACTTTTAACCATTTCAGCAACTTGAAACTTTCAGGATTTATTGAATGAAGCTTCTTCATAATACAAAACCAGTTGGAAGTTGATATAAAACTCTCAACTAAAGTTACGAATTTTTTTACCCATTGATACATGAGAAAATCATAAAATTCTTGTAAAATCATCTTTGAAGGTTCCTGAAAAATACTTTCAGCTATACCAACAACTTGAAACTTTCAGAATTTGTTAAATGAAGTTCCTTCATGATTCAAAAAGTTGGGAGTTGATATGAAACTCACAACTTAAGTTAAGATTTTTTTTACTCATTGATACTGTAAAATCACCTTTGAAGGTTCTTGAAAAATACTTTCAGCCATACCAGAAACTTGAAACTTTCAGGATTTGTTGTATGAAGCTCCTCCACGATACAAAACCAGTTGGGAGTTGATATGAAACTTACAACTAAAGTTACGATACCCATTGATAACTGAGAAAATCTTAAAATTCCTGTAAAATCATCTTTGAAGGTTCCTGAAAAATACTTTCAGCTATACCAACAACTTGAAACTTTCAGAATTTGTTAAATGAAGTTCCTTCATGATTCAATAAGTTGGGAGTTGATATGAACCTCACAACTTAAGTTAAGATAAGTAAAATTTTTGTAAAATCACATTTGAAGGTTCCTGAAAAATACTTTCAGCCATCCCAGAAACTTGAAACTTTCAGGATTTATTGAATGAAGATTCTTCATAATACAAAACCAGTTGAAAGTTGATATGAAACTCACAACTAGTTACGAATTTTTTTACTCATTGATGCTGTAAAATCACCTTTGAAGGTTCTTGAAAAATATTTTCAGCCATACCAGAAACTTGAAACTTTCAGGATTTGTTGTCTGAAGCTCCTCCACGATACAAAACCAGTTGGGAGTTGATATGAAACTCACAACTAAAGTTACGATACCCATTGATACCTGAGAAAATCTTAAAATTCCTGTAAAATAATCTTTGAAGGTTCCTGAAAAATACTTTCAGCTATACCAACAACTTGAAACTTTCAGCATTTGTTAAATGAAGTTCCTTTATGATACAAAACAAGTTGGGAGTTAATATGAAACTCACAACTTAAGTTAAGATTTTTTTTATTCATTGATACCTGAGAAAATCATAAATATTTTGTAAAATCACATTTGAAGGTTCCTGAAAAATACTTTCAACCATACCAGCAACTTGAAACTTTCAGAATTTATTGTATGAAGTTCCTCCATGATACAAAACCAGTTGGGAGATGATATGAAACACACAACTAAAGTTACGAATTGTTTTACCTATTGATACCTGAGAAAATCTTAAAGTTCCTGAGAAATCTCCTTTGAAGGTTCCTGGAAAATACTTTCAACCATTTCAGCAACTTGAAACTTTCAGGATTTATTGAATGAAGCTTCTTCATAATACAAAACCAGTTGAAAGTTGATATAAAACTCTCAACTAAAGTTACGAATTTTTTTACCCATTGATACATGAGAAAATCATAAAATTCTTGTAAAATCACCTTCGAAGGTTCCTGAAAAATACTTTCAGCCATCCCAACAACTTGAAACTTCTAGGATTTATTAAATGAAGTTTTTTCATGATACAAAACAAGTTGGAAGTTGATATGAAATTCACAACTAAAGTTACGAATTTTTTTACTTATTGATACTGTAAAATCACCTTTGAAGGTTCCTGAAAAATACTTTCAGCTATACCAACAACTTGAAACTTTCAGAATTTGTTAAATGAAGTTCCTTCATAATACAAAACAAATTGGGAGTTGATATGAAACTCACAACTTAAGTTAAAAATTTTTTTACTCATTGATACCTGAGAAAATCATAAAATTCTTATAAAATCACCTTTGAATGTTCCTGAAAAATACTTTCAGCCATCCCAGCAACTTGAAATTTTTAGGATTTGTTGAATGAAGTTTCTTCATGATACAAAATAAGTTGGAAGTTGATAAGAATTTCACAATTAAAGTTACGAATTTTTTTATTCATTGAAGATTTTTAAAACTAAAGATTTCAACTCAGATTCGGAAGCTCAGAAAAATAACTATTTAATCAGAATCACTTTACTTCATAAATTTCAAAAATGTCCAACTTTTTTCAAACATCCTGTAAAGGGTTGAAACTTGGTTATTTTAATAAGGAATTTAGGAATTAAGAGCAATATTTGGATTTTAAATGCATTGTCCAGGTTACAGTAATCAGAGGCGCCGACTTTTGAAAGTCCTCATGGGTGCAGGATAATAAATTTATAAATTTGTTAATAGGGGAGGGGGAAGCTCGCCTTAGGCGCCGCCGGAGGGGAAAATTTTCTTCCGGATGTCACGCCCAAAAAAGATTATTTTATAGTGTTTCCAATTTCTAAATTCGGGTAGCACTAGAGCAACCCTCGTTCAACTTTTGTATTCGATTTTATTGTTAATTTAGGATAAGGTAGTACCACTAGTGCCTAAATTATTGTAGCATATATAAAGCCTCTTATGGCCGTTTACACTCACCAGTTTAAGGGAGGTTTAACGATAATCAACGGTTAAAGTGACACTTGGAAATGTCGCAATAAAGAGTGTGAAAGATTAGAACTCGGTCTACGACCTCTTCGTTCTAATCACACCAGTTTTGTAGTTATGTTTAAACGCACGTGTGATGTGAGTACAACGTTTTATCTACAAAGCGGAAAATAGAAAAATGTTTTTTTTTTTTTTCAATTTTCCTTTATTAGTACATAGTTGTCTACCTTCATTTTACCTTCACAGGTGAAGACATTTGTCAAATCACAAAAACTAGTTGTGTTATAGATTCATAATCAACCTTGCCATAACAACACTAGTTGTGTTATGAATTCATAACCTAGTCCATAACACCACTAGTTGTGTGATGAGTCTCATGACACAACTGAAATACTAGAAAAATGGTTATGTAAAAACGTCATAACCAAACGCTTGTAGATAAATTTAAATTACATGATACTGATACCACCACGCTTCGCACCCATGAGAGTTTGCTCATGGGTGCACCTGCCCCAATGCCTCAATGCCCCAATGCCCCCATGTAGTCGGCGCCAGTGACAGTAATAAAATAATTTTTGTAGCCACCCTGTAAATGATGTTAGAAGCACTTTTTTAAAAATATTCCCAGAAAATTAAATGCTTTTGGATTGTACAGATGAGTGTTACTAAAAAGTTAGAGACTTCTTCATGATTAAGCCTGGTTTATTCATCGTAAAATAAACTTGCTGGTAACTAACTGCAAGATAAGTTCAAAGTTCTATGGTTCTATTGGTCGGAAGATACCTAACTCAGCGACTAATGCCCGTATCCACCAATGTCAAAAAACAAAAGTTATTTTTTAACTTGCAGTTAAGCAGTCATTTTCATATCCACCAACAAAATTTTGCACTTAACCGGGTCTTAAATATAAATGGCGAATTTTGGCCAGTTAAAAAAGATAACAGTCGGTTATTTTGACAAAATGTCTACTCATTGAGTATTCAAATGTCAAAAGATAATTTTTTTTATGAAATATTAGATCTTTGTCTGTTTGAAATCAGATCTCTAATCCTATTCATAATTGTTGGACAATGGAAAATGAACTATTCGACGATGGTGTAGACATCCTTATTGATGTAGTGCAAGATGGGTTTCCTAGAAATCAGTGTGAAAGGCCCGATTATTTTGTAGATATGCCTGATTAGTGGCAGCACAATATAGCTCGATGAATGGGAGAAAAACCGCCGCCAGTCCTTGGAGATATTGATGCAGGATGCAGATATGTTAGACTATATTGACCAAGGAAATATTTCAGAGATGCCCGCCGAAAATAATAATCCACTTTTAATAGAAGATTTCATTATGAATGACTTTGGCAGAAAGTCGGCAAACAAAGTCACATAACCTATAAATAGCATTGTGCCTCCATTGGAGTTTTAGGTATTTATAGTCCAACAAATACCATTTTAAAGTCACGTGATTTTTCTCTATCCTTGTTGAATACATCTCAAACAGCGGTGATAGTAAAATTGACAAAAAAAATGCTGTCTAATTATTGTTCATAATATTCTTACCTGAAATAGAATCCGTCACTGTCATCAATTAGTTTGTCAAAGTTATTTTCTAAAATAATACAACGAACAAACACAGCTAATAATTTTGACTTATATTAACCTTTTTCCAACTCGAAAAGAAGCAAATGGAAAACGGGTACCCAGTTTAAGTTCAGAATTTATTACAACAGACAGCAGATGCGACAAAAGTGAGTCTCGCAACAATTGCAAGTATTAAAATGGCTCTCTGATTGGTCAATACTACTTCAGAAACGCGTTT